AACAAGATGGACTGGTCAAGTGGCAGCATCGATGGACTCCAGCGTGGCAACAGTAGTGAGGTTGGCCCAGGACCTGGCAGTGTTTCGTGCTGCTGTGCATAAGGTTGTTATGGGTCAGTACCGACTCGAAGGCACCTAACAACAACAACAACACCACATTATTATATTAGTATTACATAACAATTGTTCTAAAATAAATGTAAGCATTTCTTTAAGATTTAAAACTTTATATTAAAAAGGATTCACAAGTAGATATTAGAAATATTAGAATCCCAAAATCGTAGAACAAGCAGGTCACCATTAGGCAAATGTTATAGGTGTCCACAGCAACACAATTACAAAAGATGTTTATATATCAATGCAAAGAGGAGAAGGACCGTTCCAAGACGAAGAGTTCCTGGCATATAAGAAATGTGAGAATGACCCTGTTTAAAAGAAGACAAAAGAAAACTCACATACTGAAAACATAATGTCTTATGATTAATGTTAGAAAGAATATTTGTTATCTTATTCCAAATGTAAAATAAAGTCAGAAATACTGAAGTAATGATATGAATGAATAATAGATTATGAATCAAAACAGCCAAAAAAGTACATAGTCATTGTTTCTTTTTACTTACTTACTAACTAACTAACTAACTAACTAACTAACTAACTAACTAACTAACTAACTAACTAACTAACTAAGTTAATGTCCCTTTAAAAAAAATTTTAAAAGCCCAAAAGATCAGTCACGGTAAAACTCTATGAAAAACAATTTTACTTCAACATTCTTAGGATCTTTATGAGTTGGAATTAACTTAGAAGACAACTGATTTGTTTAACTTGTATTAAGAAATCTAATGATAGTATTGACTGGTCATTTGAACATTGGAAGAAATAAACTATTGTGAAACAAAACTCAAAGTCATTATAAAATCCCCAGGTGTACTGGTCATATAGAGACTGGTGGAATCCTGGGGCTATGGCCCTTGGTCACCCTTCAGGTCTGAAACTGAACTCACCTCCATGATTCCATTTTCAACTAAGTAATGAATAGGTATATGGTAGGAGGTTGGGGGACACACAAAAATATTAGTGAGGTATGTACACCATAGAATGGTCAATCATTTGAGATCAAAAGGGCAGCATTTACCTAAGGACACAATTCAGAATGGTGGGGAAAGAAGAAGGAATGGAAACAAGAAACTCAGGGAAGTGGGATAAATGATGCTACATTGGGAAGACTGCAATTGAGATGAGACGTGGATGATTTGTTGAATGTCAAACTGACGATCTGCTCTGTAAACCTTCGGTTAATCCATAATAAAAAGTTTTTTTTCTAAAAAAAGACAAAATAAATTGTTATACACGGACACACCATTCATTCTTCACTCTTTTGCACTTTTGGAAACACCTAGAACCAACTCTGAATATCACCTTTTCCCTCAACCGCCATATTTTACTGTAATATTTTCCAGAGCTTCTTTGAAAATTATTAGGAGTTATATTTTCAGACTTTTTCCCTCCGTTTTCCGACAATCTCTTTATTTACTGGCAATTGTTTGAAAGAATAGATTGGAATCATCTTAAATTAGTTTTCAGTTCATTCCAAAGTGTGTTTGGAATAAAAAGCCAGACAACAATATGTAAATTAATAAGGAAATAAATAGCACCTCTTGCTTAGTGGGAGTGGGGAGGCTCCATATGACAGGCACTGGACTGTGAACTACAAGGTCCATGGTTTGAAGCCACCCGTTGATTCACAGGAGAAAGATGAGGCTTTGTGCTCCCTTGGAGACCCTTTATGGGGTGGGTATGAGTTGGAACCGACTTGACTGCTCTTAACTACAACTTGCTTAGTAGGTCACCTTCCAGAGCAATGTGTGTTAGCTCTTGAAGTAGATAGATGAGTGGTTTTTTTGTTGTTGTTTTGTTTTTAAGAAATAGGAGGACTCAAGAAAAGCTAGCATAAGTCTAGCACTCTAGACTCACTGAGTGGTATGGACCAGATGGCTGAGGAGGCCACTTCCATACTGTGTGGCATGTGATATATGCACCCCATTGATGGACTATGTTGTTAATGCCTTTGAGTCTATTTTTACTCAGAAAGACTCCATGTGAAAGAGTAGAACTGCTCCATAGGACTTTCTTGGCTGCAATCTTTATGGAAGAGTCCTGATGTTGTTCTGTAGGATAAGCACAGGACTGTTAACCGCTAAGTCTCTTCTCAGAAACCCTATAAAGGGTCATTATGGACCAGAGCTGACTCGATGTCACTTAACAATAACAATCATCTTTACAGCAGCAGATCACCAGGGTCCTTTGGAACTGCTGGTGCGTTCAAACTGGCAACCTTTCGTTTAGCAGCAAAGTTCATAACTGGTATACCACTAAGGGTCCAATATTGGCCAATACCATATCAGAAATGGTAGCTATGTTTAGGAGACTTGGCTTTTCCCCAGTTAGAACAAACAAAGGGGTACAAAATCCTCTCGCATTCAGAAGTCTTGGAGACACCAATGATTCAAGAGAATACTCTATAGTCGTTTCTCTTTCTGCCAGTATACATCCTTCTACCCACCAAATTTAACTCTTTTTTTGGGGGAAAGGATGTTTCTTTGTGATAATCTGATACAAAACTCTGGAAGATGTGCATGAGCACACATTTCAGGTTCGTAGAACTCTTACAGACCCATGGGCTCCAGGTTTGGAATCTTTACTCCAGATTTCTTTAACAACAGCCACTAGTCTGGAGGTTCTCAAACATGGCCCCAAGTTAAATTCTCCTGGGGAACTTATAAAAATTCCAGGTCCCTAAGTCACATCATATTTCAATTACATCAGAATCTCTGGAGGTGGCACTCAAATATTTCTATGTAGTCACCACCTGCTTTTTGTACTGTGGTGGGTTGGGTGTTACCGTGCTGTTAGAAATGATACCACTGGTATTTCAGTGGTCTCCTCATCCATGATAGACACATTTCAGTGGTGCGTCTTGCCTAAAACAGACTAGAAAGAAAGGCCTGGCAATTTACTTCCGAAAACCAGTCAATGAAAACCTTATGGATCCAACAGAATGTTGTGCAACTCACGTGATTTGAACACATCATTAACAGGGACCAAGCCTTGGTGGAAGGAGTTCTGGTAGCGTAGTGGTTACGAATCAGGCTGTGAACCGCAAGGTCAGCAGTTCGAAACTACCAGCTGTTCCGAGGGCGAAAGATGAGGTTTTGTGTTCCCGTAAAGATTTACAGCCTTGGAAACCCTGTACAGGGTCGCTATGCCACGGCACGTAACAACAATCCTTGGTGGAGTTCTGGTGTGGTGCTGTAGGATAAGCACCATTACTTGGAAATCCTATACATGGCTGCTATGAGATGAACTGACTGGACTCCACTTAACCAACAACAATAATGACGCTTGGTGGTTTTTTGTTTGGTGATGCGGAGGGCTACGGAGGATAGATGCACTGCAAATATACGGGGCAAACTTTCGTACTGTTTTACAAACGTGAACGCCATGAGTCAGAGTCTGTTTGAAGGCATCTCTCTCTCTGCCTGTGTTTGTATGTGTAATTCCAGGTGCTTCTACAGAGCAGCCGAGTTTGAGAAGCAATGCACTGGTCTCTCTTTCTCGCAAGCAATTGATTTAAGTGCTCTATGGCCGATGGTAGTTTTTCATCATTACATCAGAAACAACTGGAAGGCATCTGCCTCAGACATGGCTTAGTGAAATAATTTACTTAGAATCATCTTTGGAAAAAAAAAAAAGTAAATTTGGGTCAGTGATGGTTAATGACTTCGCAGCACGTTTCTTGGGGTTACAAACAGCTGCAATTTCGTCAGTGAACGCCAAGTGGCACCCTTAGCTTCCCGGCTCCACCTGGAACGCCTCTCCCACTGCACAAAGAGCCCGGCCTCCTCCGGGGTGACAGCACAAAGGGCCGAGCCCCCGCCCCTTCGGCGCCACCACGTGTGTCCCCGCGCCCGGCAGCCGCCGGGCTCAGTCCCTCGCCGGCCGGTCTGGGCAGCGGAGGAGGGAGGTTGGCAAAGACTGGAGGCTTAGCTATGGGAAGTTGCTCCTTTGCTCTCTGGTTCCCAACCCTCCTCCCTGGTTCTCCGCAACCACTGTCGGAGGAGAGCACAGGGAGGCGCGGGCTGCACCCGCGGCTGCCTCTCCACGCCCGGGCGGCCGCGCCGCTGGGCAGGTGCTGAGCGCCCCCGGAGCCTCCCGTACTGCCTTGCTCCTCGGCCCGCTGCCGCAGTGCCTATGGGGTGTTGGAGGTAAATGGGCTCCGGGCCCGGGAGGCGGCGGTGGATGAGGCGCTGGGCTGAAGCAGCCGCCGATTCCAGCCGTCGGGTGGCCGCGCGCCCTTGGCGCCCCTGCGAGCCTCTGGCTCAGCCATGGGGTCCTCTGCAAGCAGCAGCACCGCTTGCCTCGCGTCCTGCAGCCGCATCGCCGGCCGAGCTGGTGGAGCCACGATGATCGCAGGCTCTCTTCTCCTGGTAAGCGCTTTGGGAGACCCGGGGCGGCGGCCGTGCGGTAGCTGAGCGAGCCGCTCTCCCAGCGCGGGGCGGGTCCCTGGGCCGGAGCTGCTGGAGGTGTAGGGTCGGACTGCGGGGGCTTGCAAGAGAAGGCAGTGCATTCCAGGGCTTCTACAGGGTAATTTTGGGGTCCACAGGGCCCGGTGGGGTTTGGGAATGAAAGGGAATTGTTTTTGCAGCCTGGCTGCGCAGGGGGAGGCGCTAGAGGTGACTGCCAGGCTCTCTGCGTATTTCAGGACTTTCCCCCATGCTCGGCCCACCTCGCGGTTCGCCAGCCCACACCAGCCGGCCACAGCCCCTCTGCTGCTTGGTGTGAGGTCGGGGCTGCAATGAGTGGAGCCGAGGACTCATCTCAGCTGCCGCTTTGTTGCAGCTGCAGTGTCATGTCGGGATGCTACTGCAGTGGAGCGAGTGAGTGGTACCGGGTGCGCGCCGGACACTGGAAACCGCCGCGTGCGTCGGCGCCTGGAGTTCCCCAGCAGGGCGCCAACCTACCCTTCCCCAATCCCTCCTCCATCTCTCCTCCCTCTTGGCTCGGGTGGGTCTCAATTTCTGCAGGCCAAAAACCCTTAGATCCACACAGGCGCCTCCAAAGTGCCGGCTTCCAGCCAGCCAGCCTGCTGGCACTCGAATGGGGGCGGGGGAAGGAGGGGGATAGAACTACATAAAGGAAGACCAAGTCCTTCTCCAACATGTCCTATTCCTAGTCTACCTGTGCGACTGGACTGGTGATCCTGCAGTGGTGCGGGTTCCATTGAGAACTCAAACAGCATTCTCTCTGGGACGTTCCCCATCAAATACCTGGTTAAAGCCTGAAGCCACCTTTGACCCAAAACTTATCCCCAGATCCCCCAATTTCTTACTTTCCTTTCCAACTGTTCTTTGGGAGGGGGCGAGTTAGATGGATGAATATTTGAGATCAAACCCCACCACCACGATGCCTATCTTTTAGTCCATCAGAGGGGAGAGTGGAGATTTTCAGTTAGCAACAACAACAAAACAAGAGCCTGCCTTAAAGGGCTGTGTAAAGGAGGCATGCAGTCTCCTTTCTCTGAAAAGGCTCAGCGTCTGCCTAGCCAAGATCTGCTCAGATCCCAGGGTAATACAGTTGCTATGGCTAGAAAACATACCCCACAGACACTCAGGTTCTTTCTGTGAATGCGTATTTTAAAGGGAAGCAAGAGAATAAAAAGTTTGTTGTTAGCATTTATAATGAAACAGGGTCCTAGGCTCCCTGAAGATTCTTCTGCCCATTTTTAAAGTGCGCAAAGTCAAGGTCAGTGCCCTTGAAATTGTATCATTGAAACAAGGATGAAGGATGGTCAGCAGTAGGGGTGTCTCTTTGGGGCTGTGAATCTGGACTAACAGTCTTGGTGGAGAGAGAGAGCTCCATCTAAGTCTATGAATCGGATCAGTGGAGTTAGATCCCTGAGTTTCCTTCCTCAAGGCCTTGGATCTGCCATCCTACCCCACCAGATGTTTGTCGGGTCCTTCTAATACATCTGGTTAGAATACTCCCCTTAGAGACCACTTCTAGATTAAATCTCGAGTCAGTATGCAATATCAAGGTGATTAAAAATTTCAGGGCTTGAGTCAGGGGCACCTTAGTTCTCAAAGTGACATCTTTGCTTTTTAACACTTTAAATAGGTCTTTTGCAGCAGATTTAGCCAATGCAATACATCACTTGATTTCTTCATGGCTGCTTTCTTGGACATTGAGATAGATGCCTTAAGTAAGGTCCCCATAAAATCAAAGGTAGGTTGCTTTAACTCAAAATCAAGAAAGGGTCATTTTGTAAACCACCAAACTCAGCTTGCTTAAGAGTTGTGCACTGGATTTGCAACTGAAGACCTGAAAATTTAAGATTGATTATATAGGAGCTTCTGGTAGCATAATGGGTATGAGTCAGTCTGCTAACCTCAAGGTCAGCAGTTTGAAACTATCAGTCGTTCCATGGGAGAAAGATGAGGCTTTCTGCTCCCATAAAGATTTACAGCCTCGGAAACGCTGTGCAGGGTCTCTATGAGTTGGAAGTGACTCTTTGGTATGCTACCACCATCACCACCACCATATAAAAAAATGAAATTTTGGGGTTTAGAATCAATTTCAATGTGCTAACAACAGCAACAAGTATGTTGTTAAGTGCTATCAAATCGGTTCCAACTCATAGCAACCCTGTATAGGGTTTCCGAGGAACAGCTGGTGGGTTTGAACTGCTGACCTTGTGGTTCACACTGACCTTGAGGTCCAGCACATTATCCTGCATTGCCACACACAAGGACTCCAAACCAATATA